CTGATACACCTCTATATTTATATATTCAACTACATTTACCTATAACTACACTGATTATCTTATTAAATAGCATATTACTATTATTAGTAATATTATTATCATCACTATTATTATCATTATCATTATTATTATTATTATTACTACTACTACTACTACTAGTACTACTAGTATTACACCGTGCTGCTGTTCTATCTAACAGTCTGTTTCCTTTGTTTACTTGTTTACTGCTTTTTCTTGATTGATGTGTGATACTGTCTTTGTCGGTGTTGTGTTGTTGCTAGTACAACAATTTCCCTGAGGTACCCTATCCAAGGGATCAATAAAGTTAGATCTAATCGAATCTAATGCAATATTGTAGACGGCCATATGAACAGGATATCCAAGGCCAAGCACAAAATGCATTTTGTCACTGTCCCTTATTTACAAGTCACTCAGCACACACATGTCCCAGGGCCATCGTGCATGCGGTAACCTATGTGGGCCTGACGAAAGTCGGAAATTTGAGACAGAACTAGACCAGAATCATTTTGCCATTCGGAGCCTGCCTATTCTTAAGCCAAAATCTCAACTCTCCTTCTGTTTTACATTCTGCGTATCTGTGGTTCCATCCGCCCTCCTCTAATGACCTTTTTCTCCAGTGAGCCACAATAGCAGAGTGACGCCTTTCACTTGTTTGCAACAGAAACTGAGTGACACGGAAACAGGCCTGACTACCTGAGAGGAGAGAAGGGGGAAGCTCTGACGTCACGCGGCTGCTGTCCTCGCCACATCGCTTGCTGCCTTCACTTGTCGCTTAAGCTCGGAAATGTGACAACTGCAGATTTAGAAGCCTTTACGTTGGGGACGTTTTAGCAAATGGTATTAAAATTGAAGGTATATATTAAAAACAACAACAAAAAAACAGTGCTTTTGATTCTTGCCACATGTTTGCAAGTGGAATTGGGGCATTTTGGTAGAAACTGCGAAAATACGATCGTTGTCATCGTGTGAACCGAATATTTCCGACTGCATTAGAACGCCTCGAGTGGCTACGGCTGGTTTGGCGAAGGGGGAAGAGAATCCTCATTTGAGCGTTGTCTTTCAACAACATCCTTCTCAGTGGCTTATAATCAGTTCCTGTACCACGTTAGTTTATCTTTCTGAGCATCTTAACAGCGAGGTGGTAAACCTCTTGAAAATGCTTCAGTCTCTCGCCAGCAATTCCTGCGTGCGTTTGATTCAGAGTCACAAATCGACGTGGTATTTCGTCTCGCTGGTTTTGGGGTACCTTCTGTACCTCGTATTCGGCGCCGTCGTCTTCTCCTCGGTCGAGCTGCCCTACGAAGACCTCCTGCGACAGGACCTGAGGGCCGTCAAAAAGCAGTTCCTCCAGGACCACGAATGTCTCTCCGAGGAGCGTCTGGAGCGTTTTCTGAAGAAAGCGCTGGAGGCCAGTAATTATGGGGTTTCCATTCTCAATAACGCCTCGGCTAACTGGAACTGGGACTTCACCTCGGCGCTGTTCTTCGCCAGCACGGTGCTGTCCACCACAGGTAGGTGGGGGGTCACCGGCTCGGCCTGGGGTCTCTAGGTGATGCTGCAGCCGGACAGGTGCGCAGCAGAACACAAGGCAGATATTTGTACTGTAAATGTAGTTAGATCCACTTTAGGGGAACATATCAGGTTGATAACGAAGCATTGTTATTGTCTGACTTACATTAGGCCACACAAGCTTATAGCCTAGCCATGCACCTGAAGTGTGTTCATGAAAACAGCACATCCCTTTATTAAACCATCGTCATAGAATTTAGCTTCACTTTCCATTTATTAAAACACAAAAACAAGACAAGCCATTTGCTACAGAAAATTAAAATATCAGAATCAGAAAGGATTTTTATTGCCAAGTATGTTTTCGCATACAAGAAATCTAACTTGGTGTTTCAGTGCAAAACAGTTACATAAAGATGAAAAAGTGTTTGCATTAAGTATGTTTGCATGCTGATCGCTGTCTTGCAGCTGACCCAGCCTTTGATAAATACAACACAGCTGTAAAAGAACAGCTCTCTTGCAAAGTCCACATTATTGTATTCCAGGCAGAAGGAAGTCAGTGTCGGGGGACAGAAGTACACAGCTTGTCCATGTCAGAATCATCAAGTGAATGCTCAGAATCAGAAAAGATTTTATTACCAAGTAAGTTTTCGCATACAAGGAATTCGACTTGGTGTTTTAGTGCAAAACAGTAACATAAAGATTGCATTAAGTGTAATATATTGCATTCATGTTTGCATGCTGATCGCTGTCTTGCAGCCGACCCAGCCTTTGATAAATACAACACTGCTGTAAAAGTACAACAAAGTCCACATTATTACTGCTGTATTCACGGCAGAAGCAAGTTGGTGTCAGGGACAGAAGTACACAACTTGTCTATCGTCAGCTTTATAACCCCCACCGCGAGACAGTATTCTAATTTAGGCAAACCCCTTAGACAAATTGTTTTGTATACTTTGTCTTAAGGCGTTCACCTTGTGTATGAGCTGTTATCAGTATATAATGCTGTGTGAATGGCAAAACACACACACACACACACACACACACACACATATATATATATATATCTTGTGTGTTTATTCTTATTTTTATTCATTTCTTAATATTCAGTGCGGAACAGGGACGCAAAGCTTTTCACTGCACGTTGTACCATGTATGACTGTGGTTTTGATATATAAAGACCTTGAAACCTTGAAACATTTTCACTACTAACTGAACATCTCAAACATTCAGCTTTCTACTTTCTACAGCAGTAGGAGCATTAGTTATGGCCAGTGTTCCTGTTTTTATCTTCTCCCCTGTTAAGCGACTTTGAGTATACAAAATACAAAAGCTATACAAAATAAATGTATTATTACTATTATTATTATTCCAACAAGTTTGCAGTACAAGGTGCTCTGTCGTTGTCTGTTGTCTAACATTGCATAAAAGACTTGCAGATGCTTGTCAGTCAGAATACCTAAAGAACTTCAGTCGACCACACAGCTGCAGTTTATCTGTGAGGTTTCAACATACATGATGGTGTAGATAATGTGTACGCCAGTTAACTCTGCTTCTTGTTTAAGTCTCAACAAATGTGATGACTAAACAGACCTGGCGGATATAGAGACCAGATGGAGATCTGACTTTGTAATTGTATTTGCTTTCGGCAGAACTGTGATCCTGTTAATTAGAAATCAACTTAGTTCATCAGCATTATGACAGACTTGTTACAACATACATTCCTAGAGACCATTATGGTATTCACTTTGTATCTCGGCAGCTTTAAAAGGGCAGGGCCCAGCGTCCAGCCCTGCATTCATCTTATTCTGAACAGGTATTGTAATTTATAAATAACAAGCAGACAGTGGCGGATGAATTGTTTGGGTTTTTTCCACAGCTCCCGTCACAAGGAAATATTCTAATTTCCCTATTTGCACTGTTATGTTAGTGAGCCATGGTATTTTTAAGCCTCGTGTTAGGTCTACTTCACAAGAACACATCAGGTTTTTATGCCTTTGTCACAGTAACACTACATAACTCCATAACTAGTCTAAATGACCCTCCTCCACTTGCCTGTAACTTCCTCAATTGAGTCTGTCCCTTGTTTATTAGATGTCATTTCAGATAAATGACTGTTTTTTTAAGGATTCTGTTTAAGAGTGTTTATTTCTCTGTGAAACTGTTAATAGTACACTGCTTAACGTGTTCACTCAGCCAACCTACAATGTATTAACAAAACTTAAATAAGCCAGAAATACTCTGCGTTCCAAAACCTTGAGAAGGAAACAATGTTGGAATAATTGTACGCATACTAAAAAACAGGAAGACCACAGACATGTACAGCATTTTACAGACAGGCATTCTTTTTTTTGTTTGCTGAGTAATCATGACACAGCATGTTACCATTTAGATAATACACACAGGTGCATTATTGTGTACTTATTTATCCTATTTATAGCTAAATATGTACTTGAAGTTTGTCCTCTTAGTCATTTAACACCTGATAGGAAATTAAGCCAGACCAAGAATGAAAGCCTAAAAGAAACAGTGCACTTTCATTATAAGCTGTTCCATCTGTGACTTTACATTTTCTGTGGTTTATGCTTGCCCCCCGCAGGATATGGTCACACAGCACCACTGTCAGATGGAGGAAAGGCCTTCTGCATTATATACTCAGTGATTGGCATCCCCTTCACCCTCCTTTTCCTGACTGCTGTGGTGCAACGGATCATGGTGTTCAGCACACGGAGGCCCATCATGTACATCCACACACGTTGGGGCTTTTCCAAGCCACTAGTCGCCATCGTTCACGCCACCCTGCTCGCCTTGTTGGCCGTCTCTTGCTTCTTCCTCATCCCTGCCGCCATCTTCTCCGCACTGGAGGAGAACTGGAACTTCCTGGAGTCCTTCTACTTCTGCTTCATTTCCCTCAGCACCATCGGCCTGGGCGACTATGTGCCTGGGGAGGCCGCGAACCAAAAGTTCAGGGAGTTCTACAAAGTGGGCATCACTGGTGAGTCCTTAAGGTTCTTTGCATTTAGTGTATTTGGTGCTCTTTTAATGGCAAAGTGTAAGATCCCAAACTATTTCCGCTGCTCATTGAGGTTTTTGTTGATGCAATGGAAAGCATTAAAAACTATTTATATAATTCTTACATCAGATGTGACACTTTGCTATGATTACAGTTGCCAAAAGATATTATTGTATTTATATTATTGTTAGTGCCTCTGTTTCTCAAAACTAGGACTAGGACTGTCATAGCTCTTCTGCTCTCTGTTGTAAAGAGGATATCACTTGTGCTTGCTTTGTTTGTGCTGCAAGAACAGTATCCTCTTCCTTGTTTGACCTATAAATCAACTAAAAAGCCCCCACATGCCACATGTCCTCTATGATTTGTGTCACGCCATACACACACACACAGTATTCTAATGCTGTTAGTTTGTTCAAGCGCCACAGTGTGTCACAATTAATGCTGTAATGATTTACTGTTGTGATAACATCACTCGTAGCAGGTTTTATGACGTGAGCTTTGACCTTTTCGATGTGACGTCCTCAGCTGGGACTGTTCTCTGACCCATTTTGTGAAACCATGATTAGCACATGCATTAAAATTACAAATACATAAACTGTCCATACTACAGATAATTTTATATCATCATAGACTGATGGATCACACGAAACAGATACTTACTGCCCTGACAGATAAAACAGCAATTAGCACTGTACTAATTCAAAATATGACACTATTAAACAATTTAAAAACTGTAACTCCTGTTCTTACCTATGACTATTATTAGAAATGATTAACCCTTCTCGCATGAAATGTCATGGAAATTGCTGCTATAGGAAGCTTGAATTTCTGCACTTGACTGCAGATTTCTAAACAATGCAAAGCTCATTGAAATGGCTGAGTTGCGACAGCTCATTTGTGTGCTGCTGAGAAAGCAACATTTTGACATTTTTCTATATATTTCAAGCCACGTTAGTCAGATAGACTAAGAGGGAAACAGTGCTAAAAATTGGGCCATGGCCTACTGGAAAACAGCGAGGCATTGACTGCATTTTCTTCATGACATGTGCAGCATGATGCCAGCAGCACTGCTAAGGCTAATAGCAACTAGAATTAAAAAAAAAAAAAGTGGAGTCTTGACAAGCTGTGGGTGTGCATGAATGTCGAACGCTTACTCCTGTGAACTGTCTGCAGCATGTGTGTCGTGGGTGTGTGGCGCGCAGCATAGACGTCACTCTGTAGGCACAATGTGTCAGTCTGTAGGTGGAGAGAAGTCTGTAACAGAATGTGTTTGTATGTATGAATGGCCTCATTTAAACAACTTCCTCTGTGAAGAATTGCACGTCTGTGTCGGAAGTGACATCACCACTGTCTGTATTAATATTTGGGGGATTGCAACAAAAGAACTAAAACACAGTTTCTATCAAACAATGCACATTTTGCCTCTTTTATTGGCATTATTGTTTGTCTTGATCTTGTTTTGTTCGATAAGGAGTCACTGCTTTTTTGGTTTGCATGTAGGATGTAGCACTGCTCTGTGCCTCCAGTGTACATGCAGTATGTTTCTGATAGACTAAACAAAAGGCTGTTTCTTTTATGCAAATATACAGTAAAATATGTGAATGCTCACAAATGCAGGACTGTATTCTTCTAGGATAAAGTGACTTCAAATAGAGCAGCTATAAATGAAAGCAATAGTAAGTTCAGTTACTGGTGTAGACCCACCTTACATGGCATTTTTAGCATTGACTTAAATGTTTTCTCTTTGTTTCTCCTTCAGTTAGCTATCCACTGCCCTCTTGTGTCAGTGCATAAAACAGCAGGGTCTAAGACAGGGAAGTGTTTTTTTGCTTGTGGTTTTCCAATAGAGTGACTTGCACAAATCATCATCAAATACTTTTTTTGTATAGAAACTGACTTCCTAAAACATATTGAAATCCAGAGAAATGTGGGTTTCTGGGTTTTTGAAAAGCGTTTTAATATGGGTGTAATAATACTTGTCACTGCAGCTCATAACTCATACATATAATCCCTTCCTGTGTGTTTATGTCATCAGTCTACCTGATCCTGGGTCTGATAGTCATGCTGGTGGTGCTGGAGACCTTCTGCGAGCTGCAGCAACTGAAACAACTGAGGAAAATGTTCTACCTTAAGAAAGAGAAGCCGCAGGACCGCCTCGCCATTTTGGAGCACGACCACCTGTCCTTCACCACTGTGTCCAACACAGCCACTCCCCACAGCGAGGACAAAACCCAGCCGTTTGTCAGTGTCCCAACTCTGGTCTCTCCCAACGACGATCCTATGATCCAGTAAACGTCGGAGTGAACACCTAAGAAAGGGATGAAAATATGAAAGCAGGGGGGTAAATGCACGCAAGACTAGAGGTAGTAGATAGAACGAGTAGATCACCATCTCAGCTATAGGCGTTCTGCAACACTCAGCCCTGCAAATTTAGTAGTTAAACTGGCTGAGAATACTCTGATCAAGCAAACAGTCTTCTCTACAAAACCACAAAACTGACAATATAGTGTTACGCAGCCGAGATTAAATTTAGGTACATTAATAGAAGAGAAAATTAATATTTTAACAGTGGCTATGAATACAAAGTCAAGGATAAAAGAAGAGGCTTCTGCTGTATTTATGACTCACAGAAACTAAGCACCTTTAAGAGCTGCATTATTTATTGCATATTTAGGAATACTTTACAAAGTAATTGGTCTCTTAAATCTAGCAGGAATAAAGACAGGTCCCTGTTGTCTGTCGCAAAATAGTACATAAATATGTATGTATCTTATAAATAGAGAAGCTTGACAGGTATGTGGAGTGTACATATTCAGGTAAATGTTTTAATCGTACAGTACAGTGGCGCCTTGAATTAACACACCTGGTAAAGATGAGCCAAAGTGTAGCCAAAACACACAAACATCTACAAGTAAATAACTGTCATTTCAATTAACTTTGAGTTGTTTACTCGTAAGGTATCTTCACGTTCTTTTTTGTTTTTAAGTTTTGTTTTTTTTAAGGCTTTGCGCTTGGTGCAATCTAATCACTTTGTTGCTGTGTAAGCTCTGCAGCGCTTTATTGCATTCGTAGCAGTTGAATTGGCTCCTATTGATTTTTTTAAAAAAGTTTCAGGGCCCCGTTTCTGCATAATGTGGGTCACAATTGACTGAAAGGGAGGATACAGTTTGAAAGGAGGGACGATGGATCTTGTTTATGTGCAATAAACCAGGCTGAGATCCATCATAAAAGTATGCTATTTTTTAAAAATTAAAGCAGGCTTTTGCTCCAGGCGCTCCCAAGAAGAAACAATACACTCTTATGTGTAAGGACAGAGTTATGTTTTGTAGCATCTTTGGGTCATCTTTATAGAGGTGTTGAGTATTCCGGTCGCACTCCACATTGTCACATTTCATCGTGAGGGAAAATATTTTCTCATGTTGCAGTGCTGTTTCAGAGTTGTCCATGTGTGAAGCACTATAATTTATTGATTCGTCTGAATGGCTTAATGTGTGCTGGACTGTGTGAAAAGGGAAGCGAGGTTAGCCCAGCTTATGAAGGGAACTACAGAGGGCTGGCTCGTTGCATTTTACCATCAATGAAGAGAGCTCTGTGTGGAGCCAGGCAGTGGTGCAGAAAAAACTAACTGTCGGAGTTTCTCTGAAAGAAAAGGCTTCAGATTTCATCCATGAAAACAGCAGATATTTTTTTATTCAAACGGCACTTGTTGCGGATGATCTGTAAAAGCTTGAGGATTGCTCTAAGCAAGGAAAGAGTTTGGTTCAACTGTTTTACTGTATTTGCAAAATTTGAATGTAGAAATGTATATTTTTGAATATGACACGAGGGAAGTTTACAGCATTTTGTTAATTAAATAGTGAAAGCAATTCTGTACTGGAAACGGTACATTAGGAAAACTTGAAATTCTGAATTCAGGCAGCAGGAGTGCAGCTAGAACATCCCAGGTCTAATTATCTACCGCATCAGTTTTAGATCTGCTCACCAAACAAGAACCACGTTCAATATTTAAAAACGGTGGATATACACACTTTGCAAGTTTTTATGAGATGTCGCTGCTGTGTGTAGTTAAAAATATATTTCTAGCTTGAGGAAAAAGGTTTTGGAATAATTTCAAGTCAGTATCCGTCCTCTAATATTCTGTTTTGTGCAAAGACACCCACACAAACAGTGTAGCGTACTGCTGTAATGACAATGTTTTTGTCATGTTTTATTTTGTAGTACATAGTGCAACAGAGAAATCTGCATTTTTAATTAATTTTAACAGTGTCACAGTCTTGGTAAAGAGTTTGAAGTTCTGACCTCATTTTCTCTTGTACATTAGCACATCAAGACAAAGTCACATTTTTTTAAAAGTCTTGAATGTAATGTTTTTTAATGCTTTTTGCTGCAGTGAGATTTGAGGCCTGGTCACGGTGCAGCTTTGGTTGTTGCTGCTCTGTTGGCTCTAGTTTAGTAGTGACAGTAGTAACATTTGCGTACAGGTGGGCTCAAGCGAGGTGTCATGAACGCTTGTTAAAAATCAGCTTTGACTGTGTCACCGTCTGAGTTGCTCTCTGATCTTTAATATTTTAAAGATCAGTTCTGTTTGTTTTTTTTTTTACCAGTTTGGGCCTTCATGTAAAACAGCGATACAGCGAATTGCCTGCTGAAACGAAAGAGAACTTTTTTGCAAACTTGGGTTTTCTCTCTTACTGTAAGATGTTTCACTGTTTTGTAGATACCTTAAATAGATTGATGTCAAGGCTTTGATCCTACAGCGTTACTATTTTCGGCAGTGTTTGTCTTCATGCGCATACAGTTCGTCTCAAATGTGAAAGCTGTCAGGTAAAGTAGTTCTAGTTTTGTTCAGGGAATAAACTTTGTGTAAAGGATTACAAATGGAAGCACACTGACATTATTTATTTATGCTGTGAAAAAACAGACATGTTTTTGTAGTCATAGGTTTTTGTAGTCTTCATATCTCTTCCATTGTTGTGGTGGATGCTCTAGATTCACAGTTCAGTATTTTCAGTGTTACAATACCAATATTGTAATACAGGGTTGCCATGGAGTAGTAATGTTTTTATGTGAAACTCATTTTGTCATAGGAAACAAACACACGAACTGTAAAATGTACATGTCTTAAATAAAGTGTTGGTTTCATTTTATTTAATCTGACTTGTTCTTCTATCATTTTTTATCCCTTTGACTCTCATCTCAGAGCTGCTGCTGCTGCTGCTGTGTGCTGAATGCTAAAATAGAAACTGACACTGGCTGATCCGGTGGGAACTCATGGGAAATGTGCTCTGATAGGAGTGTCAGCTCATAGCAACACGTGATTATATAACATGAAATTACCATAAAACTATAGTTGAGATGAATTGGAGTAAAGGTGAGGGACGTGGACGGGCGTCTGTGCACATTAAAAAAAAAAACTTAGATGAATAGGAAAGAAGAGCAGAAAAAATGGCAATGGATGTTTGATGATGATGCTTCTCTGTGGGGTCTTGGGTGGCTTTTAAAAATGTTGAATAGACTAGTTTTTTCTTTCATCCCATCTTTGAAACTAAAATGGAGATTGATGTTCAGCACATCCTTATCTCCATCACAGAGGAGCAATAATTCAAGTTAGAGGTGAACAAGAGGCTCCAACATCCCAGCTAGTGATTCAATGGAAAATAATTTCCCTTTTCAGCGCGAAAACAATGATGAGACTCATTATATGGAGCGCTTCATAAGAGAGAGGGCATTGTTAGCTGTTGAAAGACACTGATTTATTACAGGAACCTGTGAAGAATATTACACAAGGCTTTTGAATTTGCAGAACATATAGCGGGTTTGGGATGACAATATAATATCTGGCACAAAGAAATATACACAACAAACATAACACTCACCTTGCTATATATATATATATATACACATATATGTGTTTTTTTTTTGTTTCTTCATCTGTGAAGATGTGATGCTTTCCAACATCATCCCAGTACTGCAGAGCATATTGTGTTTTGTAGCTTACGGGCTGCATATGTCCCTCTAAAGAAAGTAAATTTAATTGTGCAAAGCTTTTGTTTTATTCAGCAGCTGTATTCCTTATCGAAGTGCAATTACCTTCGACATGCAGGCGCCTCTCACTGCAGAGCCACTGAGCCCACATCCATGCTCTCAAGTTTAGCTACATGAAAAAAAAGAAAAAAGAACGGGGGAAGGCAGCTCGTACACACTTGCTCGCAGCAAGTATTTATTGGATGCACGTTGTGAGAACACAATTACCTGTGGGCGCACAGTAATTGGAAATAACTGTCGAGGATGTCACCCACTTTGATCCGGTGCACTATATTCAGAATCAACGCAGAATTGCTTTTGTGTTTGTTCATTTATGTAATCTAATTACAACGATACACTTTAATCACATTAGAAAGCCCCCTTTTTGTGAAGTTTAAAATCAGCTTAAATGTAAATGACATTTTCTGCATTATTTATACCTAAACTTTTAAAACGATTTGCATAACAGGCTCACAACACAACAACATGCCAAAGCTGATTGCTTTTGTGCAAAAAGTCATTTTTAAAGGGGCACATTATATTTGTGCAGTAACATTTGGAACATGGGCACAGCACAATGATCAGTACTGACCATAAAACTGAGCCTTTTGTATGTAAAAATCTAAATATTAATTTATTACACATTAGTCTCTGTACGAAACAATCTTCATTAAAAATGCTACAATGTAATTCATCAGCAGGCGGCAATGCATTTTCCTGATTTCCCTGTAGGTGGTGAAATCTCTGCCGCTCTTGCTTTCCTTTGCAGCATTTTGGCATGTGTACAGCCGGTTTGAAAGTGACCAAAAGAACCCTGTTTTAAAGAATGTTGCCAGCTCTATAAGGATGAAGTTTCATGTCTGTAAGAAAACAGTGCTGAGGAGACAGCATCCCCTTGCTGGAAATGAAACATTCTGCATGCACAAGCAAAGTCTGTGTTTACAGCAGAGTGACATTGCATTTGCTGACTCCAGAGACACCAAACAAAATACCTTGTAACTGTGGCTTGTGGCCAAGTAACACCCATATTTCATGACTTCTTCTAATGCTTCACAGTGTTTCTTCTTTATTTGCTTTTAATATGTGCCTACACTCATGCATGGAAAACAATTATCAGAAGACACACCCAGGCTGTCAGTCAGGAGTGCAAAGGGGCAGAACAGGACTTTTCCCTGAAGGCTTATCTTCATCCACCTGACTGAAATTTACCAGCAGCCTCTTGTCATTAATATTGCCATTTGATCTTTTTGCATGATTCATATGCACAAAGGAAACTACTTGAGCTTGAATTCTTAAGATAAAAAAGAATCTGTACCCTGCAACCTGCGCTGAAGTTTAGAAGTGATTACCTCACTGTAAAGGTATTCTGTCAGGAATCCAGTTAGCTGCATCAGCGTACAAATAATGCAAGACTGATGAAACATGGATGCATGCTTGGGTGCATGTATCAAAAACGCACTCTGGCGAAGCCCAAGAGTGATACACATTGCAGAAACACCCAGAGGACCATTGTGAAATGCTTGACATTTCATCCGTCAGGTTTTACAGCAAGTCCATTGTTGTGACTTTTGGCTCCTCATATGCTCGCGGTCCAGGCACTCAGGGGTCATCCAGGACGGGGGTGTGGGTAGGGCTTAACTGACTGGCATCTACCCTATAGCACCACTTTCTGATGGTGGAGCAACTCTATTTATATCCGAACGCACACACACTGGGACTATGTGAATGCAGGAGGCCTCAAGCACAAACATGCCCCACTGCCAACTCTGTAACTGCACTCATTTGCTACTGCAAACACAATGTGGTCATTTTTACTGGTGTAAAGGCAGTAGTGATTATAGCTTCTAAATTATACTGCAAGATTTATGTTCTGTAATAAAATAAAACTGAATTGGGCATTTCAGCTTGTGCTTGTGCATGGAAGTCCTAATTTAAGAACATGCATACTGCCCCAGTTAACTCTGTCTTGAATGTATAAGAGGTGAGACAAACTGACAGGACGAGAAGGGAGGGGAGCAGAGAGAGGGAGGGGCCAATGAGAAGAGGATGCTGCAGCCATCAGTTTTTAGTCTATTGCAACCATCCTGCAGTTAGAACTCAATCTCTATAGAGACATGTGTGGTGTTTGGAGAGCATCAAGATTTCCAGTTAGCTCCTGTTGTGTTTTTGCATTTCTGATGTGCTGGATAACAAACATGAATACACAAAAACAGGAACAGGAAAAGGCTGTAAACTGCTGTTGTTTTCCCAAGAGTTTAGGCTTCTGTCGAAAACCGTCCCAGACTGAGGCATCGTGAGTCGGGATGAAACAGATGGAGAAGCTCCTGGGAATTCAGCAGCACAGTGTACATTCTGTTTTTTCCTACTTGTCATCCCACTAAAGTTGACATCAGATGCGTGTGTGATGTGCAGGAAATGTTGTGGACACTAATTAGATGACAAAAGGCACGGAGCCGTGCATGTTTAACGACACAAACGGTGTCAAATCGTGAGTGCAGGAAGGAACAAAAACGGACTAATTGCCATGTTAGTTATCTAACCCCACCAGAGTGTCGTTACAACAACCTCAAAACGGACGGATTCACAGATGTCTTCATGCCCTGTGACTCCCTGAGAATAAATGGTTATAAATATTCAAAAGAAGCAATCACTTGTTTCAAGTGGCAAATGTCAGACAACCCTCAGGACTTGAAGGGGAAGCGTGGTGCTGAGTTCTCCCTTGACCGCATGGGGTGACCAATTACTCCAAATCCCTTTGGCAAACTGGGCAGCAAAAATGCAAAGCAGGGAGGGGAGGCCATAAACACAAAAAGCAGAGGATTTGCATGTTAAAGCCAGTGGACAAATGTTTTTTTTTTTTTTCTAATAAAGCAATGCAGCGTATAAATATGTATATGGGACAAGGAATAAAGAGCAGTATGTTAGTTCCTACTCTAATAACATCCAGAGCATTAGTTCCATGCACAAAATTTAAAACAGCTACAAGGCAGTAGATATGTAATGGTTAAAGTGGTGTGTTTCAGTTTGAGGGGACCCCAGTTCAGTCACTGATTGCATTTATTTGATGGTTATTTATTTAAAAGCTATACAGAGCAGAATTCGTCATCTGTGATGATGAAAAACATTTCCCCTAACCCATTCTGTGATAACAGTCATCTGAAAGGCACATCTAAAGTGGCATCCTGGTATTTTGAAGGTGCGTTTTAATATTAATAGCAGCACAAGAGAGCGGGGACTATGTGAGGCGACTTCCACAACTTTAATCATATATTTTTGTCTTGATATCATTTGTCAGCAGAACTAAAAAGGGAATATCTAATAATGGAAATCAGGGCACTTAAGGCTGGCCAGAAAAGAAGACAGAGGATGCCAATCTTTCCTTACTACCGGAGCTGTTTGCCTCGGCAGCAAACCGGTTTATGATGTTGACACATAATAGCGTCAGCAGGACCTCTTCTCCTCAGAGATTCTGCTCGCTGCTCTCCAGCTGTGTGTCAGCCTTACCAATAATGGCACATGAATAACAAATATACCCTTAAGAAATCACATCGGCCTGTGGGACTACAGGGTGCCGACTTTTTAAAGGTTATGAGTCTTTCTGGTTGAAATAACACTTTAATGGATACGGCCTTCTTCACCACCAGCAGAAGAATAGATGTCTCTTTGGGTTATTACAATAAATTGCTCCTTATGTTGGCATATGTAAATCCAAAAGTCACTAATCAAACCCTGAGTAATGAGAAAAATGATGTCTATAAAATTTCGAAGTATTTAAATATACAGTAATAAATATGACCTTTCTACTGGCTCAGAGTTTCACTTCTCTCTCGGCATTGGCCAATCAGCAGTGGCCTGTCGCACTGTTTCCAGGCTGAAAGCTGCATTAAATATTAATGGTGAGAGGAGACATGGTTTGCATCATAGAAAATGGTATCGAACTGGACACAGAAGAATAAGAGAAATAATGGAAATGACTGATAAAGTACATCAAGGTTTGTAACACGCAAGCTTTTGTTTTTGACAGCGCTGTGAAGTTCACAAGCCTTTGAAGGAAGAGGAAAGAGCTGAAGGGAAGCTTATGATGAAGGATAGTGAAATCTATTACTATTTTTGCTCTGACAACAAACA